CAAATCTGGCGGGTCCAAGTTGAACTACAGAGGAGAGCGACAAAAAGAAGACGGAGAAGAAAGCTAAAGAAAAGAAAAACCAAAACAAGCAACGACAGCGGACAAGCCAAACTGCGACGGCAGCCGATCCGGAACAGGAGCAATCAACTTCAAAGCTTCAAAGTCGGGAAAATTGGATCATAAAACACAGACAAGCTCTACACCTAAATCAAAACAACGGTCAAAATTGAAATGTATTGATTCCCAGACACCTCCAGAGGACATAATCGACACATTCCACAATCGAAATTTGGCACCTTCTGAGTGGGAAAAGTATGCTGACCAATTATTAAAACGAGGAGTTCAGCGAGTTGCAGACGAGATTAGAGAAAACCCACAACAAATTTCGGAGAAAGATACGACATTCGAACCACCACAAGGATTCTCGGATGAGTCGAGTGCAGAAGAGTCGAGTATCAGGCAAAGCTCCAGGCAAACGAAGAACAAGGAACCGAAACGTTTTGGCGACCCGATAAAGCACTCAATTAAAGAGATATCAGAGAACCTGACAGGGGGAGCACTCCTGAAAACAGCACTTCAGGAATATCGAAAACAACTAAGAGACTTCAAGGAACGAAGTGACAGACCAGTTGAATCAAAAATAGGACGGCTCGAAAGACACTTATTCATGCGAAAATTTGGTTATGCTACGCTAGATGAAGGAGTGGAATGGAACCCGAGTTGGGAAATAGAGCTGGAAGAATATTGAAAATACTATAAACTAAACGTTCAAGTAACCCAGCAACTTTCTTGTGGACTGAGTACAATGAACTCTTTTTAAATAAATTATCCTACTTATGTTGTTTAATTTATTTTTTTTTTCACCGAGGGGGTGTGTCATACCGCTACTGCAGTAGCGGTAATTGTTTATGTATGTATCACCAACCTACGGTGCTTAGTTATTGCTTTTATGGTATACTCAAGGTCACAGTGTGTGATGATATTGAGACTAAGTGAGAGATCAGAGTTGTTCAGCGCTGATCTAGTTCTCAGTAACCAATAACAAAAGAAAGAAAAAGAAAACTAAAATTCAATATACAGAATACACTATTGAATTACCACTTGTTTTCAATTGATATCGCAACGCAAAAGTGTCCAGTCTGCTAATGGGCGTTCAAAATTGGATTTAAATTCAGGCAAATTGAACATAACAAATAGTTGTTGAAGAGATGCTCAACGTAAAAACAACAAATCAAAGCCAGACGCGAACCTTCTACCTGTTTTCTGCAATTTTTACACAGCTTTTTTACAGCTCGTTGTATTTTTTACAGCTTTTGCTAGCGCCTACCCGACATCAAAAAATTTTGAGAAGTAAAGTTCAAACAAAAATTTTAAAAATAAAGAATTGTAATAACGTAAATTGTAAAAATTTAATAATAACAGATTTTATTAATAAGTCACTATACTTTTTGAGCGGTTTCAACGCTAATTTAGGAACTTCAGTTAAGTCTAGTTGGTTTTCAGAGCAATCAGACCCCAGCAGCCCAACGAGAATGACTTCTTCTCTATCAACTACGAGGCAGCAGAGCCCAGATCAGGAACTGAGCCACCTGTTGCCTCAGGTAAGTCCTCAAACTAAGTCATAATGTCCTGTTTTGGATATAAGATCACGCAAAAAAATTATTTTGTTCTCTAACTACTAGTCATACAATGATGCTGCATACGAACAGAAAATTGCTTACAAATTGGTTTATAAGTTTGCAAGCCAAACTTGATTCAAAAGTAGATGATAACTAGTTACCAAATTTGTATACCTCCCCCCCCCCCCCTCCTCAGGGATTCGACCCCCTGCCGACCCAAAGGGTCCCCCTTTTGTACTTTTTAAGAAATCCATTTTTTGCCGACCGACCCTAAAATTTTTCTAAAGGCGCCTTGGGCGCCAATATATACTAACTTTGAGTGGGAGCGCGCGCCAAAAAAACACGATTTTTTTGTCAACATTTTTTAAAAAGTGCCTAAAAACGGCTTTTTTGACCTGTTTTTTCAAAAATTTGCCTGCGGCGCAGAAAATTTGGCAAAAACAGGGACCTTTTAGTGCTTTAGAAGAGCTCGGAAAACGGAAAATCAATTTGTTCGTCAAAATTTTTTCGAAAATTTTTTGAAAATCCGCCCCCCCCCCCCCCCTCAAAAAAATCCTAGATCCGCCCCTGTTTGTATATTGAATATTTAAGTATGTGTGCCGATTAGTATGCCCATTTAAAAACCTGCAGTTGTTTGTTTCGCTCATGATTTTTCACTTAAATTGCTATATATAAGTTTGCTATTCAATTGGCCATTCAATTGACAAAAGTCCCGATCATTTAATCCCGACCATCTTATGATTTAAATGAACACTGAGACTCTAACTTTAAATGAACACTGAGACTCTAACTTTGATTTCGCTGGCTGAGGTCGAACTAGTGCATATGTTGAAGTCGGAATTCTGAGTTCGTCGAGTTCATTTCGCGTTCCAATTAGTTTAAGAAAACAATTGCAAGGCCACTCAAAGGCCAAACAAAAAAATTATTCAAAAAGTTTTTGAAACGATTTTGAATATTTAAAAGATATCTAAATTTTTATGTTCTGAACATTTTAAACTGTAGCTTTTCCTTTTTGTGAATTGTTTACATTTCATTTTAAATCTTATTAACGGGGGTTGATAAATTAGACGATAAGCAAATTAGACGGAGGCACTTAAAAGGAAATTAGACGGTTTTGCAAAACTGCAATTGTGAGAAAATAGACGAAAGTGAGAGAAATTAACTTTGTTTGCACACAAATAAAATTGTTTGTAGACAACAGTTCAATTTCGGTGGCCAAAACCTTAGAAGTCAATCATGCATAATTTATTCAATTCGAAACTCTCCTGTAATATTCAGATTTGACATTTTATATTCATTTGAACCAATTGTTTTAATAGGTATTGACATTTTATGTTCTTTTTGTATTTGTGAAACTCGACTCTTAAGAAAAAATTTTGTTGGCCCTTTCCTTTTCATAGCTTTTTCGTCTAAAATGACAGATCTAGAGAAAAAATAAATTGCTTTTAATTTCGTTTTTGTAGTTATCCGTCTAGTTTGCTTATCGTCTAATTTCCTAGGCCCTTTATTAACCCAATGACAAACAAGAGTGCAATCTAATCGACATCGATTTCTATTATGAAACCAGGTCCTTCTTCCGTGCCATGGGGAACATCTGCAGATGTGAAACACACAGCAGTTGGCGATGAGTTGGCCATGCTGGGCGCAGGTGCAAACCACAATTCCCGGAAACAGTCTCGTGATCAAAACTCTCAAGTAATTAGACCGAACTTGTTTTCATCCGAGTGTTCACGTGCAGTATGTTATATTTTGTTTTTCTTTATCTCAATTATAGATTCTGCGGGTTCTCTCCGGGTGATGCGAACTTGAAAAAATCCGATAATTTTGTTTATTCGCAAAAACTCATACAGACTTGCTTGTCATTACACCTGCAAAACATGATTCTCGCTGTCTGTGATTAAATGGTTTCGTTGTAAACATCAAGCAGCATTCATTGTCAATTTTCTGAGAAGACAGCCCTCAGAGTATAACTTCTTGGAAGCCATCCAGCATCCGTACTAATTTTGACATGCATGCTACAGGTATCTCTGACGGCATCAATGAACAGACAGAAAGAGTTTTATGACCAGAATCCGGAGTGCAAGCCAGTCACCAATCACCACCGGGAGGCCATGCTGGCGGAGAAGAATAAACCAGCACCCTGGGGAACTCAGGGCGATTTCGAAGCTCCCTCACACCAAGAACCAGAGAGACATTATAACGGTACATCGTATAGCAATGTTTTCCTCGCTATATTGTCCTTTTTGCTTATAAAATTTCGACGCTTTAGGTGGCGGATTTAGGGGTGAGGGGCTCCCATAAGGAATTCGACGACCCCTGGTCGTCCTAAAGGGTTCACTTTGGTACTATTTTAAAGACTTTCATTTCTGGCCGAACGACCCTTAGTTTTCCTGAAGATGCCTTTGGCGCCAATATATATTAATCTTCAGGGGTATTTATAACACGGTTATAAGATTTATAGTTCGTTGAACAACAATTTTCGAGCTTCGACAAGCGAACGCATTTAGATTCTTGTCATAAGGAAATCGTTTGTTCGATAGGTAATGGCAATATGTCAGTACCATGGGGAACGACCGACCCAAATGCACCCCACACCAATGGTTTGTCTCACTCCGGATCCGGTGGCAACAACTCAACTCGCAAGCAGTACCTGGATCAGAAATCCCAAATGACATATGAAGATTCGATGAACCGACAACGTGACTTCTACGACCAGAATCCCGAGTCGAAGCCAGCCATAAATCAACATCGCGAAGCAATGTTGGCGGAGAAGAACAAGCCGGTACCGTGGGGAACCCTGCAAGACCTTGGAGGCACTGCAGATGGTTACGACCAAGGATTCAAAGGAAAGCGAAAAGGAAGTAGTCAAAATGGCCACGGTCCCGCGCCTCCTCCTTTTGCAACTGCTTTCAACGACGAGCTTCCGGCAAACGGACGGAAAGGTGGCGGCAGCAGGGGTGGTCAACAGGCGCAACAATCGAGTGTCCAATCTCAAATAACATTCTGAATTCATCCACTTTATATATGATAATTAAACGCTGTGAGAATCAATGCGAGCGCATACAGTAATGTTAATGTTAAGGTTATACTGATGTGACGTGCTTTACCCATGACACATTTTTGAGCTATGTTACCTTGATTCAAATTGTTAGTGTGTTTATGTATCAAATTTGTTGCTGTGAGTTTTGATATTGCTTAAATTATTGCAACTAAAGTCAAAATTCAACTGTTTCCATCCCGATATTTTTGAAGAAAAAAACTCCACAACCAAAGCTGGATATCAATATCAATTATGAGTATGTATTAGACAAACCTTTGATTGCTGTTGAAACTCATATAATTTTTTTTTCTCGAAAACAATGGTTGAATTAAATCAGAAAAGAAAATAATCATGTCAATTAAAACAATAAACTATTGTGATGAAATGAAAGCCGCGATATTTTACAGACATTTTTAGGACTGCTTTGTTTTAATTTTCAGAAGTCCAACCGAATCATCCTCATTATAGATATCATTAGGTCTGTCCAAACTTGAGCCATAGTACTGTTGCTGAGGTTCGTAGTCATAAACTGCCGACGAGCTAGAGGGATTAGTATACTCAGCAAGATCAACAGGCCTGCTGAAATCTGATTGGATACGACCTTGGTTCCTCGCCGAACCGTAGAACCCGTTGTTGTACCCGTAAACTTCGTTGCCGACGTAGTTTGGAACCTCGCAATATGTGTCACTTGGACCAGAAGGTGGACTTAGGGTGACCTTTACAGGACCTCCGGATCCTGAGGACAGCGGACGTTCGGAACCTCCGTAAGGGTTGCCGGTAGCGCTCGGAGGAACGGGGAGAGGCGGTCGAGTATATCCAGTGGCCGTCGAGGAGTTCCGAGGTACCCGGCGGGGTCTATACGAGGATGACGTGGATCCATCTGTCATGTCATTGACGTCTGTGTAGTCATTACGGATGGTCGACACTTTCTAAAATAACATGTTATTTATGATAAGCAGGAAGAATACACTTTTTATACATAAAAGTATCGATTTGCTACACTACAACTAAATCCGACGGCCTTTTGATTAATAATTAATTTTGAAATTGACCTTTACCTGAGGAGGAGGTTTGTGGTCTTTTCCGACTCCAGGGAGCTGAACTATCATTTTATTGTCTGGCCTGAAAACACAAGGAGTTTATACTATCGATATTAATGCTTTTTACTATCTGGGATTACTATCGATATTAATGCTTTTCCTACGTTGAAATAGATCGTTCCAAAACACTTTTTCGATTAGTAATCCCAGTATAAGAAAGAGCCTCTTGTTTCTTTTCCATTCAAACTCACATCACATGAGTATCATTTGTGAGCGTCGTAAAACCAAACATATTTGGAAAAGCGTAATTATTCCCCATGCTCATTTTTTTTTATAATCGGGCTTTGCGCCTCTGATTTTTTTTTACTTTCGCAAGTTATGGGAGAAGAAAGAGCCAAAAATTAAGAGAATTATTGACCTCACTAAGAATTTACAAGGTCGCAAAAAAAATTTAAATGACCAAAGAGCATGGTTTGATTTTAACCAAATGTTTCTTACGACAATTCATTCTTCACAAGCTGTCCAGCCAGACCAGGTGCATCTCTGTATGGAGTGTGCCTGTTAGCAGTGCCCCCTTGATGGTCCCCACAGGGGGGTAGATCAAACATGGAGGAGCAGAAGTCGCCGGCTCCATTCTGGCTGATGTTTGAGCTGTCCAGAATACTGGGAATTAGCACTTGGGGATCTTGACCTTTGAACTTGCTCTAAAGTAACCAAAACATTTTCCAATGCTTGAGTTTTCAGAATCATCAATCATTCCAAATGTGAACGAAATTATAAGTTACTTAATAGAAAATCAATCAGTGCACAATGTAATCAAAACCGAAATTATTGTTTTAGGTAATGATCCTGACCTGCAATAAAGCGACTGACCTGAGTGCAATAAAAAAGTAGACAGGTCATAAACCAATCAGAGGTAAGTTTTCCGGGTTGACCTCCACCCGAAAATTCTGGTCAAACAATTCGACAAATAGTAGCTAAAGAAAAAACGGTAGCCATACAAATTTTTAACATTTTTTCAAAAAAAAACCAAAAATAGTGAAAAAACGATTTTTTTTAGCCACAAACAGATAATTTGGAAAAAAAATTGCATGAAAAATTGAATTTTTTGTCTATTAAGTATTCCAGGCTCACAATTTTATCTTGCGAAAAGATGCTAGTCGTAGAGTTATCAGATTACTTTCTGAACGCGTGAAATGCTAGTCAACTGTATGACTAGCGTTTTTTTTCCAACCTGGGTTGTTTTCATATTTTAATTCTATTTTAATTATGACATTTCTTCTTAAAAATTTGTCTAGTTTTCTCCATGTCAACCATTTTGACAAATTTAAGCGTAAAGAAACTGCCGAGTACTTAACAATATTGATAGGTAAAAACTTGAGTTAGGCTGCAGAAGCAAAAATTACATGCATGAATTGGCCGTTCGATCTTTTTATCCAACAAGAAATCAAGTTACTTTACAGACCACAGTTGGGTTATTAAAAATCATTTTTTCAAAAAGTTATGTTAAATTTATTTTATTTCAAAAATTTCCTTTGTGCCGCGTACCCAGTGTTGAACGCCATTTCACAAAAAAATCAACATATAACATTAAAACGAAAAATTCAACAATTTTATACATCAACTCTACGGGAAAAACATTTTTCATATATTTCACATGTTCGATAATTTCATTATAATTAGTTTTACATAGCTCGAAAAAAAATTTTTTTTACATCACCACAAAAAAGGCCGAGGGAAATGTATTTTTCTTATTTTTCGTAGCAAGATTGTCCTCGGATGTTCCGACTGCTCTTCAATTGATCTCGAGTAGTTTTTAGTTTATTGCAAGTTGACAAATTTTGAAATTTGAATTGATAATATCAAAATTTAGCTATTAAACTTTGAGTCGTATGTGGAAGTTTTACGATCCATTAAATTGCCTCAATTCAATTTGAAACACTTGTGTATTGTGGGATTGTTCACCAAGCATAAACAAGACTGCTCGTATCAGGGTGAAGCCCTGAATGTTCCGACTGACTTTTAAGGCTTATGGAGCAGTAATAACATGAGAAAATTAAATGTAAGAAAAAACAAATCTTGTAACAAATCAATTATGGCAAATAAGCTTCGTTAAACCAATTGGAACGATTTCTAAGACGGATTAACTCTCCGCTTACGCGTTAATAGCGCGAAACATATCGCACGTTAATCGTCCTAAATTGGCCAAAATGGCAATCTTTAAATCCCCATAACTTTACGAAAAATGAACACAGGTGAAATATCTTTTCAAATTTAAGCTCAAGATAACAATAGTTTTCGAATGATTAACAAAAATTCCGTCAAAAATGGCTAGTTAAAAAGTCGAAATTTTTCTGAAGAAAAAAAAACCCACCCCGAGCACAAATATTCCGTTACTTTCGTATCGAAAGTCGGAACAATAAATTGCATTACGTTTTTCACCTAATCATTGAGCGAGCAGTTTATACTGGCCGTGGAGGACTCATGTTAATATAGTGGTGTCGCGCCCCCGCTGGGATAAAAAAAGTCTTAGGGATTCAAATCAGCTCAGCTAATGTTATTTTGAAAAATGTTCTGAGTAAAACAAACTATACAAAACGGAATCCGATTCCAATTTACTTGCGCCAACTTCAGCTTTAGCTAAATATAAGCAAAACTAAGACATTTATGACAAAGGACGCATAAAATGATGCTGCCAACTCTGAGCGATTTGCGAAAAAATTTTCATCAATAAAAATAACAAGACTGCTCGTATCAGGGCGAAGCATGAATTTTCCGACTGCCTTTTAAGGTTTATGGAGCAGTATTAACATGAAAAAATTAAATGACGGATTAACTCTCCGCTTACGCGTTAATAGCGCGAAACATATCGCACGTTAATTGTCCTAAATTGGCCAAAATGGCAATCTTTAAATCCCCATAACTTTACGAAAAATGAACACAGGTGAAATATCTTTTCAAATTTAAGCTCAAGATAACAATAGTTTTCGAATGATTAACAAAAATTCTGTCAAAAATGGCTAGTTAAAAAGTCGAAATTTTTCTGAAGAAAAAAAAATCCCACCCCGAGCACAAATATTCCGTTACTTTCGTATCGAAAGTCGGAACAATAAATTGCATTACGTTTTTCACCTAATCATTGAGCGAGCAGTTTATACTGGCCGTGGAGGACTCATGTTAATATAGTGGTGTCGCGCCCCCGCTGGGATAAAAAAAGTCTTAGGGATTCAAATCAGCTCAGCTAATGTTATTTTGAAAAATGTTCTGAGTAAAACAAACTATACAAAACGGAATCCGATTCCAATTTACTTGCGCCAACTTCAGCTTTAGCTAAATATAAGCAAAACTAAGACATTTATGACAAAGGAGGCATAAAATGATGCTGCCAACTCTGAGCGATTTGCGAAAAAATTTTCATCAATAAAAATAACAAGACTGCTCGTATCAGGGCGAAGCATGAATGTTCCGACTGCCTTTTAAGGTTTATGGAGCAGTATTAACATGAAAAAATTAAATGAAATAAAATAAATTGAAAACTTTTTTTCTAAAATTTGAATTTTTTTAATGAAAATTATCACCCCACACGCCATATAAAGTACAAAAAGATAAATTTCGTTCCTTGTAACAAACCAATTATGGCATATAAGCTTCCTTCAACCAAATTGGAACGGTTTCTAAGACGGATTAAATCTCCGCTTACGCGTTAATAGCGCGAATTATATCGCGCGTTAATTGTCCCAAATTGGTCAAAATAGCCAAAATGGCAATCTTTAAACCCTCATAAGTTTACGAAAAATGGTCACAGGTGAAATATCTTTTCAAATTTAAGCTCAGGACAACAATACCTTTTGAATGATATAAAAAAAATCCGTCGAAAATGGCTAGTTAATAAGACGAAATTTGTCTGAAGAAAAAAACCCACCCCGAGCACAAATATTTCGTTACTTTCGTATCGAAAGTCGGAACAATTAACATATGTTAGTATTTAAATTGAAATATGTTTATTTTTAATGATCTGGCATTAATTTAGATGCAAAACTGATTTATTACTTTGAAAAGGGCTGATTTAAATTAATCGGACAAACAGAATTAAATATAAATTTTTGGGGTAAAATTTTGATTGAGAATTTTGCAGAAAAAAGTGCACATATTAAATTCTGGTCAAATTCTCAGCAACTTTTGTTCTGTTCTTCTTTTGTCTAATGTTGACCCAATTTGAAAAAAATGCGTTAGAAAATTCAAGCTTTGTTCTTTTTGTCCGGATAATTTAAATCAGCACTGTATTGGTTGAAAATTTGCGTGCAAATTGCAATGCGGCGGAACTCCTTCAATTAGTTTTTGGCTCTGGACCATTTCAGAAAAACTAATTTTTCAAATACGTTGATAAAATTGCTCACAATTTTTTGTCACATACTTTTAATTTATGTCAGTAACCTTGTTTTTCAGTTCTCATCTTTTTTCAATTAAATATTTTCAACAACAGTAGGGATAAAAAAGTCATAGGAATAAAAAAATGTTTTTCAATGCAGTTCTTGGTTCATGGTACTAACGTTTTTGACACATAGAAAAACCAGGTCATCCTTGACCCTGTATCTGATCTCGCCACTTTTCGAAGGCGGTTCCACGTAACTTCCCTCCGACAACACAATTTGTAGCAGCCGATCACACTCACACCCATAATCATGCCTGCTGCCAGCACCCCCGCCATCACCAGGTACTCCAGG